AAAAGACGACAATACATGAAATGCACAAAATGCATAGAAAATTCTACGAGTTAAGACTAGACAAACTAAATGCATGCGATGCAGCTGTTCCTCGTTAGTCTACTACCGAAAAGTTTGGTGAGATGCCAGGAGAGGCGAGTTTGGAGGCAGATCGTTAGAGCAGATGTACACATCTTACAGGGATGTACATCTTGTTAACGTCGGCGAAGTTACACCAGAGTTAGATGCATTGTTTGTAACGTTCTAAGGGTGGTACGTTTTATCGAAGTTTGATCGCTCTCAAAATAATCACAGGCACCAGTAATTTAATGTCATGCGCGGTTTCTCAGCTTTCCACTTTTCCGACTGTTCTCGCCATCGGTCCGCACAGCCCACGCCCTGCTGCACGTCACGTGATCACGGGTAAGCGTCACCAGACCGGCGCCGCGGTCAAGCCGTCCCGGCCCGCCAGGCTGTCAGATGAAGAAGCCCGGCAGCGGCCAGCCGTACCTGGCGGACGCGGCGCCGACCCCCGGCTTGCCGGGCCGACCGTCGACCGCCGGGGGCGCCGTTTGGACGGCCAGCGAGGCGCGGCCGGCGCGCTCGGCCGCCGTCGTCACGTAGTAGCTGGAGAGCGTGCCGCCGGCCGGCACGGGCCGCGGCCGGGCCGGTGGCACCGAGTAGTGCGCCGAGAGGGGCGTCGAAGTGCTGAAGCCGGCTTCAGAGCGGGACGTCGCCGCTGCCGACGACACCGGGGGGATGGGCGAGAAGGTGGCGCCACCTGGACTGGAGTCAGCGTCGAGGCGCGCCTCCGGGCCCGGCTCCTTGGCGCTGGTGGAGGACGGCGCTAGTCAGGTGGGCTCAAGGTGTGCTGCTCTCAGTGTGTCCGGCTGCCCACAGCGCAGCGCGGCGCAATGTGTCAAAACCCAGCTGAGCTGTGGTGTGGTCGTGGGTTCCTCGCGGTAGAATACCATGACGCATGTAAAACTCATCACGGCGTGAAGAACACCTTTTGTGCATCCCATTCGTCCACACGTGCGACATGTTTAAACGACGGCTGGTGCCAACAGAGCCGATGGCTTATATTTACTAGTTTCATCGTGAAGAAGAAGCTGCTGACGAGTATAACTGAGCACCACACGTCCAACAGCGAGTATTGTGGAGCGTCGCGTTGAACCAACGTTACACCGGACACGCCCGCATCACTGCATCACTCACTCGTCCTTCTGCAGGCGTCGGGTGGCGTACTTGATCCTAGGCACGCGGGCATCCGTCTCAACCCGGGTGTAGGGGATAGCCTCGGCGCCGTCCACCGCCGGCGGGTCGATCAGCTCGAATTGGAGGTGCCGCCGCAGCTCAGCTGGCAGGCGCAGGCTGCGCTCCGTCTCCGGCGACCCGCGATCGGGACCTGCCGGCTCAGCACAGCTCAGTGACCGACAGCTGCGAGTCTGGATGGCTGGGGATTGCCCCGCTCAGAGGTGTAGATGCGTGGTACCTAGAGCATCAGGTGTGTCAGGTCGTACGGGTGAAGGCAGAGACCTGGCAGGTCAGAATTGCTAAGGAAGCGAAGCCACGACCGGCACCAACGTGCTCAGACGCCAACAGGAGATTCTGCGATGAGGTGTGGATAGCGGAGCGTCACCTAACCGCATCACTCCGTCCCGCCGTCAGCCGGTGCCATAACAGAGGAGAGATCAGTGCTGCCGTCAAACGGCCGTCCCACGCGCGCACGTCCGTCTCACCTGTGCTTCTTGACACGCCGCTTGGGGTGGTAGGAGAGCTCCGACTCGGTCTCCATGCCTGAGTTGAGGTAGCCGGAGCGGTGCTGGACGGCGGCAGTGGCGGGCGCAGCCAGCTGGCCCTCGGCCTGACGCCGCTGCACCTGACGCCACTGCGCCTCCGAGTCCACCAGCTCGTAGCTGGTGCCGCTCGGTCTGCAGCAGAACAGACGGTCACAGAGCGGCCGCCTGCCGACCGGTGCGCTCGATCTACCGCGCATGCGCAGCAGCTCCATGTTGATCGCGTCGAAATCACCGCAGTGCATGTGATGAGCAGACGGGAGGGCTATAAACATGCTATCGATCGTAGATGGCCTTGCTCAAAAGTCGGTGTTTGGCATCGGAGAATGCATAGTATTCGCAGATTTTGCAACAGTGATGTTGCCAGATCGGATGGTCACCGCAAAAATGTAAAACGAGCACGTTTGTCATGTAATGGTGCAACCAGATGGACATGCTGCTCGTGGCATCACGTATGCACTGCCTTCAGCAATGGTACATTGTGTGTCCGCTGCCGTTGATCTAACCTGCCTGTGGCGCCTGTGGCGCCTGGTGCTGATATGTGTCCCACGTGTTTTCCACTGGTGATCCGGACTGGGCCATCTCTTCATGCCAGCTGTGCTGTCCTGTACCGTCTCGCTCTGATCTATTACGTGTGCCGTCTCCCGCTGATCTGTCATTTGTGCTGTCTCCCGCTGATCTGTTACCTGTGCCGTCTCCCGCTGATCTGTAACCTGTGCCGTCTCCCGCTGATCTGTTACCTGTGCCGTCCCCGCTGATCTGTCACCCGTACCGTCTCCCGCTGATCTATTACCTGCGCCGTCTCCCGCTGACCCGTCAATTGTGCTGTCTCCCGCTGATCTGTTACCTGTGCCGTCTGCTGCGGTGCCGGCGGCCGCTGTTGCTCCGCTCCGACTCGGAGCCCGACTCGTTCCGCCGGTGACGGTGTTTCCGGTGCGACCTGGACGAGCCGCGCGCCGAGCTGGCGTCGCTCTCGTTGCCCGAGCTACGCGCGTGTCGATGCCTGGAAACAGACCTCTTTGTACCGCTGGCCGTGCCCAGTCACCTCAGAGGCTTGGCAATTCTAGGAACCAGTTCCTGGCAAAAATGTCTAATATATCCGACCAATACTCGACATTGGGGCTGGGAAGGCAATTCAATGCGCAAACACCGGTCAGTACCTACTTCGGTGGCCCGTGTTGTTAGACACATGTCAGTTAGTTCCTGCACTTACACTACGCATTGGCAGTAGGCTCAACTCAGTCGTCATTTAAACTGAGCGTCTGGGACCACACCCGCCAGCTGAAAGAGAGCCCTGATCTGAGCCCCGTTCAGCCCCGGGCGACCGTCGACAGGCACGCCGTCACCAGCCGTGACCTGTTGGCCGCGGTCTGGGGCCGACCGGGGCGCTGCTGACCTGCGGTGCGGCCGGCTGTCGACGGACGACTGGCTCTCGACGCTGGCGCTGCGGCGCGCCTTGCCGGCGGCGCTGACGCCGCTGAACAGGGCCGGCGCGTGGCTGGCGCTGAAGGGCGCCGAGCGCACTGAGCGCGGCGACTCGGGTCGCGACGCGCACTGCAGCGACACCGAGCCGGCCCGGCTCATGCTGGACACACTGACGGCAGACGGGGCGGACTGACACACTGATGGCAGACCGGGCGGACTGCACACTGACGGCAGACGGGGCGGACTGACACACTGGCAGCGGACGGGGCGGAATGACGCACTGACGACAGATGGGGCGGGCTGACACACTGGCAGCGGACGGGGCGGAATGACACACCTGATTGCGCTGATTGTGCGTTTTAGAATGCTTTGAGATAGATCAGGGCTTAAGAAAAATATGTGCCCTTATTCTAAATGTGTGTAATTTTTTCTATGTGTTCATCGACGTATTTGGGAAAAATGTCCCAATTGCTATGCTTGACATACCTTTGTACTGGTTGAGGTATGGAGAGAGCGGTACGACAGAGAGACTTTTTGTCAGTGTCGTCTTCTTGCCTTCTTGAAGCTGAAAACAAACAGAACTCCTTGAAACTGCGTGTGTCTGAAAAGCACCTGAAGTAGTACTCCTCACTTCCCTGTGACAGCCTTTTGCTGTCCAAAACCGCAGATTCCATCCTAGATTGAACTGTCGAGGCGACATAGGGCAGCCCAAACATCAGCTCAAGGTCTTGACCAACCCAAATCGTAAGCAATCCGTTTATATGAATTGCATGAGTGACTGATGTGGGCAGGATAATTGCCTTACAGCCGTCAAGTAGCCGTTTCCGTGGTCATTACATGCATTTGACTTTCAAATTGACGGACCCCAGACCAAACCAGTTTGCACAATGATCGTGCCTGTGCTAAACCGATCAGCACAGCTGCTGACAGACTTAATTGCATCGTGTGGCCACGGTTTGTTGTCCCTGCAGCAATCCATGCATTCTTGCTGGATGCACGTTAAAACTGAAAGATAATTCTTTAACTGTGGTATTTCTTGGAAGTCGTCTGCTTCTGAATTATGATGACTAGCTCCATTCATTTCTACAAGAAGTTACAAAATTGATGCAACCGTTGTTTAATCGTCTTGCTGCTTTTGTACACAATCGCCGTCATTTTTGACGATATTTACGCTCACTGAAAAGAGAGCAGCTAAACTGCAAATCAGTCTTCTTTCAGAAGCGCCGCAGCGGCTTTCAAGCATTGCAATATTTCTTCACATACAGCAACGGTGTTGTCGAACGGTAAAAGCGATGAAACGTTTTATCGGATTTATGCGAATCCATTCCTCTGTAACGCTCGCCATCTTTGTCAACCTAAAAACTGGTTTGTATCCATAATCTGGGATGAATCGTCACTCGTAAGAAAGGGTATGGATTTGCAAATAGCCGTAGCAGAGTCACATCAAAGGATTGCTATCAGACGTAAATGGACTTTTGACGATTGATTTGCCGCACGCGAAGCCTTCGGTCTCTTCAATGGGGCTTCAAATGGGAAAATCTCCCCAAGCCGAAGCGAGCACCTCGCATTTCTCAGCAGCTTTGTAGTGCGCGTTACTGGCCAGCCGCGGAAACGACAGACTGTCCGACAGCCGGCGGGGAGAGCTTCGCTCAGGACAGCTGTCTGCCAGCATCTGCCGCCAGCTGACGAGCTGTCCCGCCGCCGCCGCCTCGCGCGGCCTAACACAAATTAGCAGCGTTTCACCGGCGGACGTGCCATACAGGCGACGCACGGCCGCAGGCGGCGGCGCGCGGTCGTTCACACGAGGACACTATTCTCGCCCGCGCGGCGGGACCCGGTGCGGGCGGAGCGGGGGCCTGGGGCGGAAGCCTGGAGTGGTGCAGGGCGGGCGAGGATTTGTGGCCGGGGAACGGGGGCTGTGGTGATGCGGGGCGGAGCGGGGCGGGAGCCTACGGTGGAGCGGGGCGGGGGCCAGTGGTGGAACAGGGCGAGGGTCTTATGTGAGATTGGAGTCCGTGGCCGGGGAGAGCGGGGCCTGTGGTGGTGTGGGGTGGAACTGGGCGGGAGCGCATGGCGGGACAGGGCGAGGGTCTGTGGTGGGGTGGGAGTCCGTGACCGTGGGGAGCGAGGACCGGGATGATGTGGGGCGGAGCGGGGAGGGAACCCATGGCGAAGCGGGGCGGGGGCCAGTGTTGGAGCGGGGCGGGTGTCTGTGGTTGGGTGGGGACCCACAGACGGGAGGCTGTGGGACTGACCGTGGTGGGCAGAGTCGCCGGCGCGACTGGAGGCGCTGGAGCGCCGGCTGGACGAGCGACTGAAGCTGGGTGGCGGTCTCCGATGCAGGCTGGCCTCCCGCTGCGCCTCTTTCTCCGTTCGGCCGCTGCGGAGGAGGGTACCAAAGCGAGTCAGTCGGACCCGGCGGAACGTCACAAATGTGGCCCAAGTACAGGACGGCTAGCTACAGCCAGACACTGCACGGACTCGGCATCACAGGAGCAACTGCACCTCTGCGAGTTCATCCTATAGCGCTCGTGGTTCTTTAGCGAGGAGGGATCAGCGGCACTGCTAAACAACACACATTCAGGCAAAGATGGTCAGACGTTGATTCCGTCCTCTTGGGTCGAAAGCTCGTAGCTTTCTTACGCTGCGCACAGGGGCCTGGGCGACAGGCCTGGTGGCGCGGCGCTGGAGTCGCGGCAGCTTCCAGCAACCGGACATTACCATCGGAGCTGCAGCTCCCGAGCATTACTGCCTAAGCTGAAGCTGCCGGGACAGCGTCGGGTGCTGCAGCCGGAGCTGCGGCCGCTGCCTGCAGCCGGCCGCTGTGCTCGGAGCTGCAGCCGCCGGCGGCACCCGGGTCACGCCGCTGAAGTGAATGGCCGCGCCGGCCTCCGATCGCGTGGGAATCTTTCTGCACCCATAATATTCGCTGGTTTGCACACAAATTGTTCCAGGACATTAACGTTCCTTGCAATCATAAAAGGCGTCTGCCGAAACCGGATTGAGCGAGGCGAGCCGGCCTCCGCGGATGGGCCGCGTCAGCCATTCGCTTCAGGTGCGGTTGCAGCGCCTTTACGACGGCGCGGCGGCGCTGGCGGCGACCGGCGGCCCTCGCCGGCGAGGCTCCAACGGGCCCACGGCTGGCCGGGCGGCGCGCGCCCGCTCGCACGACAGCCGGATGACGTCATATGGAGCCCGTGGCCGCGGGCGGGCCGCCCGGCCGGCCACCCCCGCCCGCGGCCACCTCTGACGGCGCGCACGCACGGTGCAGGCAGGATCGAGTGAGGAGCTGGTGGAGAAGGGGGGGGGGGGGAAGGGAGGGTGCGGCTTGGCTGCAGGATGCATTGCGTTGTAGGGAGGAACAAGAGCGGTTAAATTTGCACACTGCGCCGGCATTAGTCATCAGTGTCTGCGTCGATAGAAAGTATTGCTTTTGGAACATTCGGCCGGAATTACCCGGACGAGCGCGCCGCGCAATAACAAGGTCACACGTCTCCTGTCAATGACAGACGGCGTTCGTTAACGTCAGCGTCCTGGGCCGGCCGGAGTCATCGAACAATACACGCCGGCGGAGAAAAGTCTCGGCCGCGCAGACCGGTCGTGAGCGCGGCCAGGCCGCACGCCCGCCGCCCGGGCTCACCTGTAGCGGAACCTGGAGCTGATGGAGAGCGGCCGGCCGCCGGACGGCTGGTTCACCTGCACCAGCCGGAAGAAGCTGTGGTGCTCCACGCAGCACTTCCACAGGTGCTTGCAAGCGTCTTTGGATGGCGTCTCGAACCCGTACGTGTTCTCTTCGTTCTGCCGAGTGAAAGAGATGAGCGGGCGGCGCCGTGCTGATATGGTAGGCATGGCAGCGGACTGAATGCTTGCATGCCGTGAGCTGTTGCGCTGGAATGCTCGCGTTATAGCAGGAGAGAGCGATCAAATGCTGTTGGAAGGTCTCAATTGTTTTATTAAAGAAAGTTCCGTTGATGAAGAAATAGTTATATATATATATATATATATATATATATATATATATATATATATATATATTTATATATGAAGATGCATATACGCATATCTATAAACATGCATGTATCTAAAGATGTGTAAATGCATAGTTCTATAAATAAATAAATATATATATATATATATATATTATATATATATATATATATATATATATATATATATATATATTATATATATGTATGCATAATTTAGTACACCACTGATTCTGCATTAACAAGCTTCGTAATGCATCGTGCGAGGCTCTATCATTTTGTCTTTGAAGTCTCGTTCAAATTAATAATTGGGCGAACAAAATTACTGATGTGTAGGTCGATATCATTTCGTCTATTTGCGGCGGCCGAGGTCTAACCGATCTTGCTTGCGTATCTATATCTTTATCGCTTTTTTGAAGCAGGAGGAGGCAAATAATCCTAGAAAAGGCAGAAATATTTATATGACGCTAATACTTGAACGTGCATCAAATGCAATGACCAAAGGAAGAAAACAACTCGGGGACACATATTCACGTTGAAGTCAACGGTAGCTGACGCTCAACACTTAGCAGCTCAAGAGTTAGTACATCAGTTAGACTATTTGCTCAGGGCTGGAGATAATTCATTAATAGAAATGCTTTCCAACTTGAGAAGTATCTTCTGTCGTTGCAAGTCCAAAGTATGTCAGTGCTGCCTGCCAGCCACCGTCGCGTTAATGTCCTGTGAAGCGTCCTGACAAGCATGACAAACTACAGCGCACCAATGCAGCGTATCAATTCAGCTGTCATGTCGAAGGCTGAAAACTTGGTTCGCTACGCTGTGATGGCGTAGCAGTAGCGCCGCCTGTCACGCCGCCTGACAGGGTTCTGACGTTGCGGGGCACCTCCGAAGCACAGGCAACGCCAACATGACATGACAGTGACAGCACAGCAGCTGACAGACACACCACCCGCAACTAAAGGAGGCAAAGGTGGAGACTGAGTCCAAAATGCGGACAAGATGGTGACCACGTGATCCGCCTTGCTTCTCAGTCAGGTAGCCAGTTCTACTGCTCTGTCTGCCATTCATTGACTTACATTTTTATCTCGTACACGCAGCATGAAGTATTTGCCCTTGAAGTGCACTTTGGAGATGCGAGGCCTGCCAACACACACAAATGAATCGTTATTGAAGGGTGCTACCGAACATGCTGGCTCGAAACAAGTGTGGATTAGCCATCGACATCGGTAACTCACGGCTCAGAAGGATGTGAACATTTGGCACTGGTGCGTGGATCCCGAATCCGGAGCCCAAAGACAAGTATTTACTGTATCGGATACGGACTCCTCAAAATCTATCCAGCGCCGTCCGCCAGCTGAGCTTACCAGCTAGAGCCTTACCGGGTCAAATGCTCCTTACCTAATGAACGCCCCCACATGGCTGTGCCTGTACCCACCCGTTTTTCACTTTTCATCACCTGTACCCACCGATCACCTGCCCGTTTGCATTTTCCAGCATTTTAGTTATAGATTATGCAAAAGTTTCAGAAGTGTTTAAACGCAAACTTACAAATTGCGGTGGTAATTACGAAAGCCATATGAATGGAGTAAATGCTAGATAAAAAGCGTAAGCAATTATATTGTGCAGAAGATATATTTTTCGACATATTCGACTGTTTCTCCCCAACCCGTTCCTGCAGCCGTACCTATAATTCTCCCCAAATATGCGCCTATTCCAAACCGTCACCCATTTCATATGGGCGCCTAAAGGTTTACCCAGTCTGCGAAGTTCTATACCAAAAATGCGAGAACAATAACGAGTGTCCATCTGAAAGCACAGAAAGAAATCCAACACAGGCTTTACTTACCAAAAGTAGTTGCTGACCTTGACCTTCCCTCTGAGAACGATAACTCCGGCTGGAGTGAGGCCGATGAAGTACTCCGTGTGGTCCTCACCCTGAAAGGGCAGATCTATGCAGTTACATGTATCGGACACGTGATGACTTGTAAGTGCAGTACCGGTTACCTCCATACAATAACGCGTTTGTTTACTGCGAGTTACACCGATACTGGACGCTTCACAGAATTGGTAAGTTGCTCTCCGCATTTTTCCCCCCGAAACATGCACATTACATTATCAGTTTTACGCCACCGACCGCCTAAATATGTAGCGCTGGGTTCGTAGTAAACAAAAGCGGAAAGTTTTGGTTTGATTGGTCTGGGTTTGGTTAGAGCTTCTTGATCCCGTCCGGGCTATTTCTGAGCTGTGGAATTAAGGAGAAAGACAAGCAGGCGGTGATAATGCAGCAGCCTGCCTCAAACCCGATATCAAGCCTCAGTCCTCAGAATGTTGTGCTCGTCCTGGTGACAGGCCCTGCGGGGGCCCTGGTGGGACAGGGAGCCGGTGTTTCGAGACTGGTCTACCCCAGACTGGTGACGGGCCCCTGCAGGCGCCCTGGCGGGACCGGGAGCCGGCGTCTCGAGACTGGTCTACCCAGACTGGTGACGGGCCCCTGCAGGCGCCCTGGCGGGACCGGGAGCCGGCGTCTCGAGACTGGTCTACCCCAGACTGGTGACGGGCTCCTGCAGGCGCCCTGGCGGGACCGGGAGCCGGCGTCTCGAGATTGGTCTACCCCAGACTGGTGACGGGCCCTACGGGAGCCCTGGTGGGACAGGGAGCCGGTGTCTCGGGACTGGTCTACCCCAGACTGGTGACGGGCCCCTGCAGGCGCCCTGGCGGGACCGGGAGCCGGCGTCTCGAGACTGGTCTACCCCAGACTGGTGACGGGCCCTGCGGGAGCCCTGGTGGGACCGGGAGCCGGTGTCTCGGGACTGGTCTACCCCAGACTGGTGACGGGCTCCTTCAGGCGCCCTGGCGGGACCGGGAGCCGGCGTCTCGAGACTGGTCTACCCCAGACTGGTGACGGGCTCCTTCAGGCGCCCTGGCGGGACCGGGAGCCGGCGTCTCGAGAACATTTAGATGTACCTTATAAGGTCGCTGACTTATGGCAGGTCAAAGTCAGGCCATGGCTTCAGCGAAGTCAATTTCTAGTGATTTGTTCAATATGATGCAACAACGGAGTGTTAGACGAAGCCATACGTCTCTGAGATGCTTTCTTAGGCAACACAAATATTGAATAAGCAAATTACATCGACCTAAGGTTAGGTATGAAGGTCACCCACGGTGAAACCTAACCTGTTTAATTTCTTTAGGCTTGATGTATGGGATAGTTTCTGGTGCTCATTTCGAATTTATTGATAGTAGGAACAGCATTATACATGTTCCATTGACTTCTCAGAGGTGAGAATAGGTAATTGACCTAAAATAACCCAGGTCAACATTTTTGTTTTTAGAAACATACTGCCTAGCGTAATCTTTGTCGCTTATTCAAATGCAAACCTCAGAGCGGTCCTGCATGATTTTGGTCAAGATGACATTTGAAAGGTCAAGCGAAGCCATTGACCTTAAATGAGCATGTGAGCTTTTGCTTAGAAACAGTTACCTATGTTCTTGGGGCACCTTGGTGGCCAGTCTGCAATTCTGCATTGTTTGACCTTATTTGACCCAAAAGTTATAACCTAGGAACCTCAAACTTTGACCTAAGTGAGTTCACGTACAGGTCAACACACTGTAAATTTGGTGTTTCTAGCTTTCTTAGTTCCCGAGACCTCAGGGGGGTCAAATTAACCCCCACCCGAGCGAAGGGCATCCAGTCGGCCACCCGGGTGCGTGTTAAGTGCCAGAAAAAAATGATACCGTAATCAAGGGAACCACTACTCTTCATCAAGGTTCCTTGTTGCAGCCAAACCCTAATCATCGCAGCGCAAAAGAGCGAGCACCTGGTAAAGGCAAATGTATGAAGTATAAGTACATGTTACAATCCACGCATATTAGCGAGTGGAACTACTAAACGGGTTTCCATTCTGATTTCTCCTAGAGCGAGTACAGCATTCCGATACCGAAACACATTTTTCGAAGCGAGCAAACCTCTAGCATCTGAAATAATAGCATTGTTGTGTGATCTCTTCGGACATAACGAAAGGCACCAAAACGCTGTGATACCACGAAAACAATTTGCAGCAATTGTCTGTCATTGTATTGGGTCTGTGTTGGCCCAAAAAGTTCTGTAACTTTTGCAGCATAAATATGAAACTCATAGCAACAAGAAAGATGTCTAATAAATCAAAAGAGCGTACTGCGACGTCCTTAGTATGCAGCTCAAAGACAATGTGTCTGTGGGCCCAATCCCTTTAACACAAACACATATTTTGTTGGTGGCCCAGTCCACTTAAACAGGGCACTGGCGGGCTGCTTGCAAGCGCCCGATTGCATTGTACAGGTATAGAGCTGCAAAAGCTATCTGATGTTTCAATCGTCTCTTGATTTTTGTGCGCCACAAACTATAAGCGCAACGGCCTCCCCCTCTCCCTCGGTTTAAAATCGGCGCATAGCAGCAACCGTGCGAGGGTTGAAGACCGTATTGTCAGCAGCAGCAGCAAAGCATGTGAATGAAATCATGCAGCTTTCTGGGTTTCTTTCTGGGCAGCCGATGCCACAGGAATGTAAGCTGGGTGTGGCAAGTTCAGTACCAGCTATGAGATGTGGAGACGACCTGTTCCGGACCAATAATAAAAATACAAACAAATCACGCACGGGGAAAAAGGCCGATCGCTGGCGAAGTTGGAGATACACAAGTCGAATTGGCGGGTAAAAATGTAGCGCTGGGAAGCTTTGTACCACTGATTATCGGAAAACTCGCGTTTGCTGGCTCGGGCCGATACGGACATCAATATTTCTGGGACTGCAGCCGTCACTGGGCTGTCAAAACACCCAGCAGGTCACCACGCTCATCGCAGCTTTAGAGCTAAAACCCGGCGTGAAAGGCTAACCATGCATTTGTTTGGGCTTACGTCCCCACTGGTATGTCGAACGAGGGCTATAAACAAAGGTAACGTTGCAAAAGGCTCGTTTCTGGCGCACGTCGCTGCCAAATGACAATTGACGTTAGGCGAACTGTCAGCGTTAATCCAGGTCCATTATATAACGCCGGTTTAGCAACAGTGGAGGGAGGAAAACGGAATTGTACGGAAATAGCGCAGATAGGAACAGAGAGCGCGAGAGGAAATGGACACAGGAAGAGAAAGAGAGAGAGAGAGAGAGAGAGAGAGAGAGAGAGAGAGAGAGAGAGAGAGAGAGAGAGAGAGAGAGAGAGGGGGGGGGGAAAGGAAAGGGGGCGGAGAGATGGAAGACAGAAGGAGGGATAAGTATACGGACAAATGGAAGAGAGCGTAAAAAAAGATCATAGCTGTTACTCACCAACACGGGGTGAAGGTCCACACCGTACATTTCCAACCACCGGACCTTCTCCAGGTAGTTGAACTCCACCACTGATGGCACGCGACCCCTGCCAGCCGCAAAAATGATCGTCAAACGCTGGCGTAAGCCAACTGTACAGACGCGCCACTGATCACTGATTACGGGAATTCGCCAATGACGCCACAGACGATCGTAATGGCAGCACCTCGGGTGCGCGTGAGGAAGGCACTGTTTCTGTGACACAGCGCTGCAAGTGAATCCAGGCGGACAGACGGCCAGTTCCGGGGAAATCGCCTGCAAATCGGGCTGCCAAAAAACACGTGACAGGTTAAGTGCTCCATTTGGCATGTGGCAGGTAAGACACGGGTGTACGAGACGACGTCATGTGTCGTGCAAACCATTCTCAGCGGTGACGCGAACGTGTCGCGTAATGGACATCGCCTTGGCGTGCTCATGTGGGGGCGGCGGGATGTTTAACGCGGATCGGTTCTCACACGAGGGACTTGTGGATCTGCTCGATGTTCTCCTCCAGCGAGGGCGTGAGAGTCGGCAGCAGCCGGAACTCGCCGACGTAGCCGTCCACGTGACGCTTCGGGTCATAATCGCCCAGCTCCGCTGCAGGGAGACCACGAGAGTGAATCCAGAAGAGCGCGGTTGCGGAAGCGATTGAGTCGCATCACGCACCGCGCGATCGCGACTGAAGTACGAAGGTAGGTGATTTCGATGAGAGATGGGAGTGGGTGATGCGCTTGCATTGGTCAATTCGTTGACATGATGTTGAAGTCAGTCGATTTGACAACCGCGGTGAAGTTGAATACCGCAATGGCTCTACGTGCAGGCATGCGTTACTAGTTCGCAGGCTACCCACAGTAATGTGCCGAATTCCTGTGCAGGTGCATGGTTACAGAAGATCATCTGACGAATTCATTGAATAACGAATGCTATGGGAACTGCAGCGACTGGTCTGCCAGTGCCATCATTACAAAAGGCGTGTGATTAAGCGACCGTTATAGCGGTATTGTTCTCCGCAGACTCCAATTAAAAAAGATTCCATCCGAGCCTTGTGCATGGATAGATTTCTGGGATCAGGGCCCACGCTAAGCAGTGCTTGTTGTGTGAGTCCTGACTATCACCATTCGATCGTGCAATTCCAAGTCAACGGCAGAACGTGGCAGCCAAAAGTTTAGCGTGCCGCAATGCTCGGCACGGTCCGTCAAGCCCTCTGACGTCACCTGACATTTAGCGCGACCGCTGCCACCAGCCGTAGGCCATACCTGTCTGGGCAAAATAATGAGCGCCTTTGGCAACCCGCATTCACCCCGCCACGGGTGGGCGGCTTCGAAGTAAGGCAGGCGCTCTAACCAGCTGAGCTACCGCGGCGGACATTGCAGCATATAAAGCTATGCTAAACCGTTTTCTGCCGACGTTTAGATCTGGCACCATCACCCCGATGCCTAATGTGGTCCGTGACCAAAACGATAAAAAACATATCACACCAGCAGGTTTCAATTCTAGAATCAGCAAAGAATGTCACAGCATAAGCGAAACCCATGAAGGTTTCAACCCACGCCAGGAAGCAGTATAAAGAAACGCCCCTGGGGGAACTCATCTCTCCCAGGAAACGGGTTCTCGGTGGTCTTGACTGCACCCACACCGCCTCGCCAGGTCTTACACTGAATGACGAGAGCCCCAAGCTCTGCAGACAGCTCCGGGGTTACCGGCAGCCGGCCCTCCAGGATATCTTGCTTTATTTGCAGGAAGAACTGGTACCTGTTGAAAAAATAACGGATTAGGAGCATCCACACTACGTTGATGGTCATAAGGAATGCAGTGGAGCCTGAATGATTTCAGCCTGAACGAAGAAATCCGTCCCAAAATACACATATCAGGATTAGTTGCGACATTACGTGGCAACACATGGCTAACGTAATGCCCTCAACCATGGCTTTCACCGCAAGATTAATCAACGTTGGGAAGAAGGGTGTTTTGATTGGTGTCGTTGGCGAGGTGGTGGTGGCTCGCGCTCCCTTGCCAATTGATCCCAAACTGAGCTACGCAACAAAACCCAGGGCTGTATTGGTCTCTAAGACATCCAACGGTGTCAGATTTGGGCCCATGCAGTCCGCCAGTACCCTCCAGGTCAGATTAAATGCTGTGAATAAAACAGTAGCATTGGCCTTATTCATCGGAGGAAAACCAGGAGAATGGAGATATAATCGGGTTGATATTTCGACAACATGCCTGTATCGAAGCAATAGCAAAACAACTTCTGCTACTGTTTCGATAAAGGCATGTTGCCGAACCATCAACCCAATTATATTTCCTTTCTCTTGGCTTCTCTCCGAGAAATAAGGCCAATACTGCTGTCTTATCTATGTGAACAATGCGCCTCGTTAATGCACTGAACAACTTGCGTAGACTACCACGAACATAGAACCGAAAAATTAAGGCTGGGATCCAGAGCCTGGAACAAAGCTTTTCCAGCTCAGCGAACACAAAATCAGGTCCTGAATCAGTATCAGACCAAAAAGGTCATGTAGCTGATCTAAGGCCAAACAAGGTAATGCCATACTATCTATTTCATGTGCCCTTAAAAATGGAAGTGATCAATAAAAAGTGTCCTGCACGCCTGCAGAGTATAAGGTGTCCGTTCACCGTGCATAGTTTAGGTCACCATTCATTTCATGGCAACAATAGGACACAGAGACTCGCCGTAAAATGATATCCCCAACGTCCAAAGGGGAAGCCAGAGCTTAACTGAACGAAGCAAAAAAAAAGTATGCCAAACTTGCCCTGTAAAACATTATCAGCTGTCCGAATTTGGCTGTGCTGCCTTTTATGTTGTATTTGTAGCAACCCAGGAGACCCAGATTATACGCTGTCGACGTCTGGTATGACGTCATACCCCATAGATTCTGCGCCGTTTGGAGTTCGCAGCGGCCCGGACGACAACAATTTTACATGGCGTTAAGTAGAATGTTTGCAGGACACGCATCATTTTTTTTCCTCGACTCCATTGGCGTGGACAGAAATGGCGCAACAGATTCAAAAATGAAGGTCAATTTGCATGACCAGGACCGACCACGAACGATGGAAAGCTGTTTTATACGTTACAATGAGCAGCATTTGCCAGTTCCTTTCCCAGGAGCACTCAAGGTACCTGCAGACGAAAATCGCAAGCCTCAGCATGTGCAGTCATTGTCACGGCAGTTACGAAGATATAGACAAAAAACGAACCACGCTACAAACGCGCCAGCAAAGATTCTACGTCACGTCACGTGCAATAGAACATTCTTGGTGAGCTGCGAATATACCCTTAATCGTTCTTGCTTGCGTCTCACAAATGGCGCTTGGGGAACGGTATTTATCTTGCTTCCCCTTTAGAGGATTAATAAAATGGAGTGCGTTTAATGAGATGCGAAGATTGCATGACCACTATTGTAGATTGACCGACACAATGTTGGTTAGCTGTCTTAGCTATGTAGCCTTTTTTGTCTCGTGTAAAGGGGATTTGGTGATACGTCAGTCAAACTCGTCGATATCATTTGGAGGTGATCAGGGACGAAATGTGAGTCCGCTACCAGCAGCTTAGTTACAAATCATGCACATAGCATGCAACAAAACACTCACGCACGGACGTGCAAGGTCTTTGACTGACCTGGTGATCTCCTCCAGGAGTCGGCATGGATCCGCTGCGTAAAACTTGACGCAAAAGTATAATGTGAATGGATCCGTCCCTGAAAAAGGATATGGGGACAGGTCAGAACAGTGCGCAGAGACGCGCCGTACCGGATCTGAAGACTCCCCATCCACAGTTACAGAAACTAGATGTTGTACTGTAAAATGGCCGTCAGTCAGCCCGTATGGTGAACACTGAGCACATTTCTTAGGGAACATCAGCTTTCTCTGAAAAGGACGGCATCTGGTCTGCGGAGGAGCGTATGAGTGTGACGTATATTTATTGCCTTATGTCATTCCAGCACTCTAGCACTCAGAATTATCGAGTAGAAGTGCACCTTGGATAGATAAAACATTTGTATTCAGTTGCATCTGTTGTCCGATGTAAAAATGACGGGTGGGCCACCGAGCAAAGCTCTCCAAAGCCATGAAGGCACATCTTCGACTGCCAAGTCGAGCCCCGTTATCCGACGCCCTGCCACACACCGGCAGCCGGAACCACAGGTTTACGTTCATCCATAGCGGAATACGAAGGCCAAGGCCAAGCGCTTCACGGTACCCTGAGTTATCTTTGGGATGAAGCATTTATAATTCAGCTTTCCAGATGGTCTGTTAATGAAACCGGTCTTGGTTGCTAAAAACGCTAATCATGTGAGGTACACCGGCGGCTTTTATTACAACATATTCACCTGCAACACCTGCAGCACACTAAGGACTGTAGGTCCTTGTAATGAAGCCCTAATTTCCCATCTCTAGCCTGAGTGGCGGTCGTTGCAGGGCAAGACCCTGCTATTTACATGTGATATCAGACCATTTTCGGGGCCCAACGCACACCGTCAAACACAATTATCGCACAATGAGGACCAGAAAGCCATCCACTGCAGCTCTAATTTCGCTTGTCGAGCCTCCGCGGAGGCCGTTGCCGGACTAAAATCCTACTGCTTACATGTGATATTGTACCGTTTTCGCGGCTCAGAACGAACTGCAAATTATGCCACCTGCCTTCAGGTGATGACTGCGGCTCAGAGCACTCTAACACCGCACCCCAAGCTGGATGAGTCGCGAAACTGGATTCCGAACGGATGCTGATAAACGGGAGACAGAACCACTTGCAGCTGGACGACACGCAGTCCTCCAGCCGGTGACGCAAAGCCTTCCTTGCATGACGTGCGACAAGGGACCAATCAGGTGTGGACCCGGCTTAAAACCATGTTCTTTAGTGTTTTTACGATTTTAAGATTTAGCCTTTCCTTGTCAATCGATGGGGGACGGGGGAGGGGTGAGAACGTCATCACATTGTAACGTGGCAGGAACACCCGCCCCCGAGGAAGCAACCCGCATCCCAATGTTCGATAGCTTATTCAGCATAGCTTTTAAAACATTGCACTTCTTGTTGCTAAAACTTTACGGTGCTGCCATCAGTGGCCAAAAATATGGTAGCTCTTACCAAAAAAGACGTGATGACCGGGCGGGATCGGGTTGCTCAAGTTGAACAATCCCATGTTTCAGATAAGATTGGCTCAGCTTGTGTCCTTGCTGGTAGAGGATTGCGTAAACCTAACACCCACTCACCTTGCTTCCGAACCCCCACGACTGTTTCCCGGTCGCTGGCCGACCAGCGCTTTTCATTGATGAGGTTTTTGATTACCCGCGCGCCTCCAGCCCCATGAAGATGAGCAATTCATCAAAGTTTTGCGGAAGCAGTTACGCAGGAAGGTATGGAATTACAGACCCGGCTTGGTGGGTTGTCCAGTCCGGTGATGCAACCGATTGTACCTTGAAAACCATTGCTGAAACCAGTCACAATCTGTCGAGCGCAAGCGGCTAGAAAGCAGCCCACGTATCCGACCATGAGCCCTGTGGTTCAGTTGGTGAACGATTATTCGATAGCCGCACTTGGGTCTTCGTGTTGGAAGCCTTGGTTGATGTCATTAGGCGGGGACGCGGGTCAATATCTGTACCCGCAGCTTTGATTGGTTTTCCTGCAAAACCGCCTGGTTACACGATACCCTGTTAAGTTGCTAACCGGACGCGGTCGCCATGTGTCGCCATGTGAGATCCAACCAGATCAGTGCATGGTAACAGACATTTGACACTCAATTTGTGCCTTACATGGCGGCAGGCCCATGGGCGCTTCGTGTGCATCACATAATGGCAGGTGCATGGCGCTCGGCGTATCTCACATGGTGGCAGGTGTATGGCTCTCCCATGTGTCTGACATAGATAGATGCATGGCGTTCCGTGTATGTCTCACATGGTGACAGGCGCATGACACTTGATGAGTCTCACAAGGTTTTAGTCGGCATGGCACCCGGTGTGCCTCACATTGTGACAGGCGCATGGCGCTCGGTGTGCCTGATATAGTGACAGGCGCATGGCGCTCGGTGTGCCTCACATTGTGATAGGCGTATGGCGCTCGGTGTGCCTCACATCGCAACACGCGTCTGGGGCTCAGTGTGCCTCACATGGCGACAGGCGCATGGCGCTCGGTGTCTCACATGGTAAAAGAGTGCATGGCGCTCGGAAAGCATCACGTGGTGGCAGGCCCACGGCACTCGGAATCTGTCTCGTGGTCTCCATGCACGAGGACTGTATCTGCCGCTCTGTGGCTCCCTGGCCCTGAGTGACGAGACATTCAAGGGACATGTTCACTTGTTCGTTTCCATCCACTTTATACTTTTGCCCTGCAATATGATGATGTGTTGAAGTAGTGTGAGCGGCACATTGTGCTGATATCTGCATAACCATAGAAATCCAAACTGCGCCAAGCTGAGGTTTTTTCACTTTTGAACTGTGGTACGATAAGTAAAACGGCATAGTAATATCATGTGATTCAGTTTGGTGATATGATGACTCCCCTGCCACACTACACGTGATCTGATGACTCCCTGTCACACTCAGCGTGATCTGATGGCTCCCCTGTCACACTCGGCGTGATCTGATGACTCCCCTGTCACACTCAGCGTGATCTGATGACTCCTCTGTCATACTCAGCGTCATCTGATGACTCCCCATCACACTCAGCGTAATCTGATGACTCCCCCGTCACACTCAGCGTGATCTGATGACTCCCCTGTCACACTCGGCGTGATCTGATGGCTCCCCTGTCCCACTCAGCGTGATCTGATGACTCCCCATCATACTCGGCGTGATCTGATGACTCCCCATCACACTCGGCGTGATCTGATGACTCCCCTGTCACACTCAGCGTCCGCTCTGGACGCTCCGCGCCGGTATCAGTCCGGACCGAGCTTGCAAGACGCGCCATGATTGGCGTGTCGGGGCGCTCTTATCCGGCAGGTGCCGGTGTTTATCGATCGATCGCGCGGCCGGACAGCGGCAAAAGTTGCCCTTGCAGTATTGGTGAGCTGGTGAAACCGTGCGGACTTTCACGTGATGCAACTCAGCCTGAGGCGTAACGCCCTGGGCCGCGGTAAAAACCGGGCATGATCTGCTGGACCCCTTACACGCGCTTCGGTCAGATATGATAGGGAAAGCTCCAGTCATGTGCCGCCGTTCAGCAGCCAAATACGGCAGCGGCTAGGAAGGAGTTCAGAACAACCATGAATCATTATTAGCCGTGCAATGAGTCAATGCTTATTTCGAAGTTCCGGGTTGGTTGTCACGCCTGTGCAAGCTTCCTTGAATTGGTATCCATGCAGTTCTAACTTCCAAATCACACGAGAAATACCTTAATGCCATTAACATATGGCTGTCTGGGACACATTGATCTTTCCGCAAAGTCCTTTCAGTCTTAATTTGTATCTCTAATCAAGCCAGCAGCTTCTCCTACAAGTTAGACTAATAAAATATAGCATGTATAAATGCAATTAATAGGTTAATCTAACTAGCCTAACAATACAACCCAGCCCAATCGACGACCCCACAAACCTATCAACTTTCCACCTTGCGAAACCCAACCGAACATAATCTAATCTAACACAATATGCGCTTATGACGTAGAAAGGGCTACGGCAGGCTATTACAAGCAGTTTTGCATCTGCAATACAATAGAGTTCTGGCGGGACCAGCTAGAAAGCAATCTCTTGAACGGTTCTAATGCTAAAACTTCTAGCCATAGTATCGGCACGGTTCTGATCACTTTGCATTCATCTAAGGATCAAAGGTCAAGCCTGAGAGTAGTGAAAATGTGGTCAGTCCCAGCAGAACTCCGTATTTCATTGCTTTACCTTTCAGCTGTTGAACAATTTTCTTTTGTGGGTCCAGCCAGTACTGAAACAAAGGAAACACACTGTCAGTCCACTGCAATATGCAGGAGGGTATATCCGCATAGAGCCGACATAGAGGAAACCAAGGTTAAAAGCAGCACGGGACAAATTGCAGAATGCCTAAAAGCCTCCCGTATACACACTCTAGTAGTACAGCTTTCTTAATGGAAACCTGCAAGGCGAATATGTACCTCTAATACATGTGTACGTGGGAGCCACGGGCGAGCGCGGTGGTACCGAAGCAGGTTGATTTGAGCTGTATTTATTCAAGAATCCACAATTTATAAAACGTGTGGTGTATTTCTTGACGTCTCGTGAGATTTGCTCCCGTTATTTGTCAAATTTTGTTGAACTAGTAGACGTCGATATGTTCTTTGCCCTGAATTTGCGCACTTTTTTAGTATGGCGGCAAGGTTAAATATGCACCGTCTGGCCGCGGCAATTTGGTTCATTTGACCTGGGGCATATCGTAACAGCATTAAACATGATAAAATTAAGCTATCGATTGAGAGATCTTCCTCCTAGGACCACAAATGTTATTAGTTTGTCCGGCGGCATCTGCATTGGTCCTTAGTCTAAACGGTGATTTGGAGCCGTGCTTGACCGAGAGGCGACAGAAACTGTTCCTGCGCATTTGCATTGGTCTTAGTCTGAAGGGTGATTTGGAGCCGTGCTTGACCGAGAGGCGACCGACACTGCCCCTGCGCCTCTTTTGAACTTTGTTAATGGCTTGGAATAAAATATCTAGGTTATTGCACACCTATCTAGTGAGAACCTACTCTCACCATTTGCTGTTGAGACAAAAATTACGTGCTCTTCACTTTTTAGGTTTTGAAGAGTTGTCACAACCAATCCGTCCGCTGTCATAACTTACCCTGTGCATGTGCGACAAAATGTTTGGCACGTGCAGAAACCATTTGGACAGCTTATCCCCCCCCCCCCATTTATTCGTCCTGGTTATATCTACACAAATTCGCGTTGTTTTTCCCGCGTATCGAGAAAACCTTATCTCCCTGATGTTATTTTGTTCTAGCTCATAGCGTGAATCAATTCCAAATGTTGTCAAAGATATCCAATTGCTGCCTTCAGGGCCGGTCTTCTCACTATTAACGCATATCTTCAGAGCGGGAGAATGCTACCATCCGAGCCTCATCAGGCGGAGGTCTCGCTGAGTTGTGGACACGAAAGAAACCACTGAAGTCTTGATAAAACACTAAGTACTCAGCTTGCATTGCATTAATTACGATATCATCGGTGGAATACAAATATCCCGCTAGCCCAGATATGTGCACCGGAAAACGCGGCTGACTCCCAACAGTGTCCGCACGTGATAGCGGCCGCTTGACAAGCCGATCAGAGGTCACCTGGCCCACGCTCCGGGGCTGACCGCCAGCGCCCACCCCAGGTGAACGGCCGACCGGCACCCCGTCTCATGTTATTGCTTAGCGGCCATTAGAAGCCCTCTATAGAGGGTCGTGAGCCTCAATCGAAGCGTACGTCAAAGACGCAATCAGGAGATAACCGTGCCCCGGGATGGGAGCCGGCCAAATTGCTCCCCTATTATCTAGCTTACCCCATTTAATTGGTGCCGAGCTGCGTTTTTATGTCGCCGCGGAGATCGGTGAAAATTATGGCCGCCGGGTTTTTGTGCGGCGGGGGCAGAGGGGGAGGGGGGAGGGGGAGGCGACCAACCGCACTCTGGGACTGGACGCGGGGCGCTGGGTGGTCCTGAGGTGACAGTGCCGCCGTTCCGCGCGGGACACGGCGCAGATTGGGTGTCAGCGCCGCGTGACTGGCCGCTGGGGTGGCCGCTGGGGGGGGGGGGGGGGGTGAGGGGAGGCCGGCGTTCCGCCTCTCGAGTGGAAGCTGGAGCGGCCCGCCACAGCACACCAGTGAGGAGGCTGGAGAGATCGGGCTATAACCCCGGAGGGAGGTGGGGGGGGGGGGGGGGAGGCCGGCCTTCCGCCCCTCGAGCGGAGGCTGGAGCGGCCCGCAACAGGACAACACCAGTGAGGAAGCTGGAGAGAACGGGCCATAACCCCGGAGGGGAGGGGGAGGGGAGGACGGCCCTCGGCCTCTCGAGTGAAGGCTGGAGCGGCCCGCCACAGCACACCAGTGAGGAAGCTGGAGAGATCGGACCATAACCCCGGAGGCAGGGGGGAGGGGCTGGAACGGCTCGCCACAATAAGGGCGGTCTATAGCGCGGCGCCGTGACACCAGAGGAGAGGATGCGACAGACCGTCACGCCTCTGGTGGTGGTCTGGAGCGGCCCGTGACGCCACAGGAGGAGCGATGGAAGTGGCCGCGTCGCACCACCAGAGAAGACACTGAACCGGCTACGTCTCATCACCGGGGAGAGATAGAAATGACCAAGTCACGCCTCCAACAATAGAGGCTGGAGGAGAGGCATTGTTCCGGTCTCGCGGCGCACCATTGCAGCGGAGTCAGGGAAACGGAACGGTGGAAATACTTCTATAAGAATGCTTTAAACGAGACCAAAACGTGAGCCGGCGAGATTCCACGGTAGTGATAAACAGGTGATGGGCTGGCTTCTGAAAGAGGCACGCTGTAACGGAAGGCTATGTTTCCGTTGCATTCCATGCCCAGTTGCTGGCAAGCTCCAAAGCCGTTTGCAAATGTTTGACAAGTGTTAAAATGGCTTTCATGCCGCGACATTTCTATACACTTCTCTTGATGTCAGCGGCCTCCCCCCTATCAGCAGCGACCATCCTGCGCTGGTTCGGTTAAGCGCAGTCGGAGAGTCCGGGAGCCGTTGTGCCAGCAGAGGTGCTGTTGTCCAGCCGCCCTCGCACCCGGCTGAACATGACCGCCGCCCCGTCCGCACGGCGTTGAGTCCGCGCGCTCCGACATGAGAGCGCCGCCCCGTCCGCACGGCGCCGAGTCCGCGCGCTCCGACGCGACACGCTGCTGGCCGTGCTCCGGGTAACGTAATCAGAGACGCCGTGTCAGCCGGGCGCCGTGACCTGGCGTGCCGATATGTCAGCCTGTGACGGGGCGAGGCGAGGGAGGAGTAGGGTGGGGCGTAGCCCGGCCGTCGCTCCGTGAGCGCAGATATATTTTTCCCAGGATGACATGCTGAGCTGATATCTACAAGAACACAATTCACTCAGTACCCTCGTGACCAGACTGCATTCAATACAGTGCGCATCCCACTACGAAGAATTGTTGGCACAAGCTGCCCGATTCACGCTATTTTTTCAGGATAGGGTTCCTTTCCTCGGCATTAGAACAGAAATAGGCCGTCCTGCAAAGAAGTATTTCGTGAAGACAAAAATGTTGGCATGCAAATGTTTGCAAAAGGGTTAAGGTTTCCGCAATGCAACAGAACACACATCATTCATTTACAACGCCATTCAAATCGACCGGTATCGCCGTGGCCGCGGAACGATTGCATAATTCAGATGTCATGGCGGCTCGGTGTGCTGCACGAAAACAAACGCATTGTGCATGGCTACCTGTGTACTCACCTTACGTCATAAAACAACATAGGTGGCTAGCTGCTCCTGAGCACAAACGACCATACATTGTCGAAATAGTGGTCAACTGTCATCAAGAGCCGACAACCGCCATCAGCGAAATGACCCGGTCGCCGTTCCACCGACTACAGAGGACAGGCCCCGCCTTCGGCCACGGCTCGTACATCACGGCTGAGTGGGGCTCTTTGGCGCGACCGCGGCCGCCCGGAGCGTGGTGCCGTGTGCCGCCGTCATTAGCCACCGCCGGACCTCGGCAACGGCTCCCAGGGGGCGTGAGAAAAGGCCGCGATAAAATCTCACCGTCGCCGGAAGACGGCGTGGTCTGCTGCCGGATGCGGCGCCGGACGGGCCCGGCCGGGTCGGGGACAGAACTGTCCAGGGTGCGTCCCGGGTCAGGGCCGGCCAGCGGACCACGGACCAACGTCATCCATTTCCCCTTCTGACACGTCCCTCTCTCTCCCCTGCTGCTCTCTCGCTCTCCTTTTCAGATATTTCACACGACATTCGGCAGCGCAGTTCAGCAGCTTCAGACGGTCCCCGCTCAGTGCAGTTCAGCCATTTCAGACGGTCCCCAATCACCGCAGCTCCGCAACTTTAGACGGTCCCACTCGCCGCAGTTACGCAGCTTCAGACGGTCCATGCTCACCGCAGCTCAGCAGCTTCAGACAGTCCCTACCTACCGCAGCTCAGCAGCTTCGAACGGTCTCCACTCACCGCAACTCAGCAGCTTCAGACGGTCTCCATTCACCGCAGTTCAGCGGCTCCGGACGGTCCCCAATCATCGCAGCTCAGCAGCTTCAGACGGTCCCCAATCACCACGACTCAGCAGCTTCAGACAGTTCCTACTCATTGCAGCTCAGCAGCTTCAAGCGGTCCCCACTCACCGCAGTTCAACAGTTTCAGACGGTCCCCAATCATCGCAGCTCAGCAGCTTCAGACGGTCCCCAATCACCGCAACTCGGCAGCTTCAGACGGTCTCCACTCACCGCGGCTCAGCAGCTTCAAGCGGTCCCCACTCACCGCAGTTCAGAGGCTCCAGACGGTCTCCACTCACCGCAGCTCAGCAGCTCCACGCGGCTTTCTCGGCAGCGGTATCGCTCGCTGGCCCCGCAATGCCCCACCCCGCCTGACCGCAGCTGCGGTGCACCGCTCCATGGCAGGTAGGGTGACATCCGTACCTGCTTCAGGTGAGACCGAGCGATGTGCCTGACCGACCGGGTGGCGTCCCTGACTGGCCGGGCGATTCCCTGGCTGGCCGAGCAATGTCCCTGACTGGCCAGGTGGTGTCCCTGACTGGCCGGGTGGCGCCCTGACTGGCCGGGTGATTCCCTGGCTGACCGAGCAGGGTCCCTGACTGGCCGGGTGGTGTCACTGGCTAGCCGAGCAATGTCCCTGACTGACCGAGTGGCGTTGCTGACTGGCCGGGTGGTGTCACTGGCTGGCCTGGCGGTGTCCCTGGCTGACCGAGTGGTGTCCCAGCGGACCAAGCGATGCCCTGGCTTACCGAGCAGGGTCTCTGGTCGACCAAGCGGTATCCCTGCTGACCGGCTGGCGACCGAGACATCACTGCCACGTGTTGACAACTAACTCACCACTGTTCTGACCACAGAGCTGTCAGCGTCACGCGCTGACGAACGAGCCGCCTGCCGCGCCGAAGCCATCCGATCCGTGCACTTCCCACCAACCGCTTATCCCTTGCATACGGCCATCAACGGCCGCATTCCACACCTAGGGTGTGTGCATCGTGCAACCCACCGTCAGCGAACGTCGCCTGCTTCGACGGTGACGTCTGTCCACTCACCGGCTGGTTTGACGAGTGCAGAAAGCGAAGGCCGAAGTAGGCAGTTTCCAGCAGGTTCAGGTGGCGAAACACGTTGTCCAGCAACTCTTGGCCCAGCGTGGTATCCTACGAGAGACAGAGAATGGTCAGGTGACCGACGACGACGTGGTCCCACGACTGGCATAGTGACGACGGAAGCTGTGCCTCCCAAGCCACAGCTGGTAGCCGCCGGGCCATGGCCAGACCAGTCGTCAACACGGCACGGCACTCATCAGCACTGCACGACTGAATCGATCCGGTCAGTCGCTCAGTTAGTCAAGTAACCAACCCGTATTCAGCGGCCTGAGAGACGAATCCTCAGTGAGGGCATTTTTCCATTGACACGGCAATTGTGCGGTCTTCAGACGTCGCGAGGCCTGCGTGTGGTGAGTCTGATTCAAGCCGTGACGCTCTGTCGTGCGGCGCCCGGCCGCCAGCGCGACTCGTCAGTGCTCCGATGGCATCCGTCCGCGGGCGGCGGCCCATTCAGACGGCGCCCAATCGGCTCCATCTGGAGACATGAATGACTCCATCGCAGGGCGGGCGGCGCCGGCCGGCTATGACAATCCCTGCGGCGATCGACGCCAGCCGATGGCAGGCCCGGCCGCCCGCTCGCCCGGCTGGCCACCAGCTGGCCGAGCGGCGTGATGAACGGATCTGTCGCGGCCAATACCGGTGCGGGCCGGCGACGCACCCGGCGCCGGTTGTGTCGCACGGTGCCGCGCGACGCACGTGCGGGCAGCAGACCGGCCCGGCGGCGCGGCCCTCGCTGCCAGGTCGGTGTCAGGGCGGTGGGACGCACCACGCGGAGGTTCGCGGGAATTAGTCGGAGCAGGCGGGTATCGCCAGGTATGTATCTGCCCGGCGAACGGCGAGGGGTAGGCGCCCAGGGAGATTCATGTCGAATGGGTAGGGGAGGGTGGGGGGGTGGGGAGATTAGCATCTACCTGGTCGGAATTCAGGGTCATCCGGCCCCTACAGTCAAACAAATACCGCCCACGGACGGCCTAAGACAGCGATGGTCCGGTGACAGAGCACGCTGCGTTATGGCGACGACAAAGGTGGTCGACTTCGTACGTTGCTCGAAAATAAAGTGTCCGTGTATTGAGGGCTCGGTTCGATGACGGCGGGAGGTAAAATAGGCACTCGAATTTAAGATCGACCTTCAATGCTGGCCTTGTCATTCATTCAAGGCCAAGACCCGGTAATAGCGCGGCTGTCCAAAGTATATAGATCTGTTTATCGTTTGATGCCGATAGCTTTCACCAATCTTTTACCGTCCGTCCGTCCACAAGACGAATAGAGGAAAATAATAAACATCTTTAGCCCGCGATCGTATTGCTCCGTCAGCACCACGCTGCGATTCTCAGAAATCCCATCAATATCAATGGATCCGTGCTCTTCGGTGGCCTGACTTCATCCGGAAAGGAGGCCAGCTGTTGAAACAGGTGCGCCCCGCCAGCGGAGCGCTCGCCACCCGTCGAGAGCCGGGGTGTGTTGCCCCCCGGGGCTCGCGACCCAGACACGCCCACCCGCCGCGCCGTCCCGGAGCCGGCGGAGCCGCGGCCTGCCCAGTCGGCGCATTCATGATGGGCTGAGAGCGGCTGTCGGGGCTCGGCGCGCGCCCACCACCAGCCGAGCCGAGGGGTCACGGTCGAGTGCCGCAGCCAGCCAGCACCGCCACCACGGCCGTCTTCGGCCGTCGAGACAGGGCCACAGACACCACGCAAGGTGCCGCTGGCGAGGCTGCGCTGAAGATCCTGAGACCAAAGCGCCCGAACAGAGATTGATGCAAAAGATTGCCGCCATGCTGGATCGCGCAGAGGACAAATGAAAAGCCTGCGGCGCGCCTGAGCCTGAGCCTGAGCCGGGCCGTCGTCGCCTAGAGATGCAGCCTCGGTGTCGGGGCCAGCCGGCCGCGAGAGGTCATCCCTCCCGCGGCGGCACCGTTAGCGTCTCGGCCCGACCCGCGGCTCGGCTGCGTGTCGAGCAGTCGAGCCAGCGCGCCAGCCGGCGCTCGTCGTGGCCCCCGCCGTCCACATCTGCGCCCGGCCAGCGTGTCGGAGGCCGCAGCCGGGCCACTCTTGACCTCCCGGCAGAGGTGGCCTGTAATTCGGCCGGCCAAGTCACACCCAGTTCGCGTGTAATTTGGATTGGCAGGTCACACCTAGTTCGCGTGTAATTCGGCCGAGGCTTCTTTGTCCCGGACGGCCGGCGTCTTCCCAGCCTAATGCCACGTTGTCGACAGGCGAGGGCAGCGTCGCGTTGTTTTTCACACCGCCGATGATGAAGGAAGCGCAGCAGCTCAAAGCCAGCGCTTGGCTCCGGCCGGCTGTGCGCGGCGGTTGGTTTTTAGAGCGCTGTATAGCCCTGCGCCAGGCTCGTGCGCGCTCCGCAGCCATTCGACTACAAGGCCACCTAATTAAATCAGGCAGTCGGCCCAGCTCTGTGTGTCTAATTTGTTTGCCTCCGAGTTGTTTGTGCGTCTGCGCTGGAACGTTTGGGAGCGCAATAAAGACGGTAGGAAATCATTCCGCTCAGACGAGAGCTGTGTCTTGGCCAATCGGAAGCGTTCGTGCGTAGAGCCGGAACGGCCGTGATTCATGTTTGATAAATGTGAACTATTCAAGCTCGTTACCAGCAGTAGAATATTGAGAACACACATCATGGTTGCCGGAGAACAAGCATGTACAGAAGCCTCGACAGGAATCGATGGAATGCGTAGATTCAGACAGACTTTATTGCCGGCGGCGTGCCTTCGTAAGCCGTGGAAGGCCGTTGCCCAACTCCTCTATCCTGCCCGATCAGTGTTTACGTTCGTCCCATGCGTTCAGTCCGAGAGAAAGTCAGCATACTGGAGTCAGCCTCCAGTGAAACTGCTCCCCGAGCCGTCGATCGGACCTCGGTCCGGCTCCACCTCCGAGGGTTAACTCTCCACACGCGTCCCTGGAATCCTCTCTGCAGGGCCCGTGATAAATTGCCGCAGATTATGCGGAGAATAACAGGGCCGGCGCGCCCGGGGCGGCCGGCTCACATGTTTATAGATGACCGCCGGCGGGCCCGCACCGGCGGCACCACGCCGGGCGAACGGCCGCGCGCAGAGCGACGGCGCGCGCGCGCGCTGCCAGGGCCCGCCGTCTCGCTCGGGGCGCGGTGTGGCCGGCATTCCGCACCCGTGCCGTCGGAATGAGCCGTCCTGCTCCGAAACCCGAGATCGGCGGGCGGCGCGGCGCCGGCTCGATGCGGCCCGGCTGGCTGCCGAGGCCTCTGGCAGGCGGATAAAACAGGCGCGGGTGCGAACATGCGCGACGTGTCCCTGGCCCGACGAAAGAACCTTGAGTCATGCGGCACTCGCCTGGCGGCGGAAACGTGAGCTTGTCGGAACGCGGCTCTGGTTGCCGCGTCGCCGAAGGTTGGGAGCTGCAGCGTAACAAAGGCTCGGTGTTGGCACAGAACGCCAGTTTGGTCGTTCGTCCCTGGTAACGATTGATGGAATCGGTAAAAGCACAAACCGCTGGTGCAGTTTCGAAAGACAATGCTATCAGCACCAGCAGTCGTGAGTGCTATGCACTATGCAGGGATACTTTTGGTCGCGCTCAATATCAAACTGCCGTCATGTCAGCAGCAGCCAGAAGTTCACCCCTGCCCAATAATGTTTGCAGGGGAGTGAAGCGGACTCTGATGCAACGGGCGTGCTCAACACCGGTCTTTCAGAGTTGGCTGTGCCCGCCGGCCGGCTGGTCCGGCCAAACGCCATCAGTCACGAAGGGGAGACAAATTACACAGCCGCCCCGGTTCATGAGGCGGCCGGTCTAGCGGCGGCGCCTGCATGCAAGCGCCGCCATAACCAAGATTAAAATGCTTTTGCAGACGGCAGCCTGTTCATCCTGCACACGAAGGGGTGATTCCGGCACCGGGCCGACCCAATCAAAGCCTGTGCGGCGTCCCGAAGCCTCCCCACGCGGTGGCCGGCTCCGCCGGGCGGTACCGGGCCGGCGACAGCTCGCGCTCCAAATGGGCGGCGACGCGGCGGGGGGCGGCCCCTGCCCGCGCAGCGCCGCCGCCCGCCGGGACGGGGCTCAGCTCTCCGCGGGCGGCGGGCGGCCCCGGCCGGGACACATTCCGGGCCGGCCGCGTGCGTGCCAGATATACGGTTGACGGCGAGGCCCTAAAGCTGCCCGATTGATGGCAGCGGCGCCGCCCCAACACAAAGGCCAATAAAACGCGAAGCGGGCGCGGCTCGGTGGGCCACGCCGCCTGTCTGGTAATGGCCGCCGACAGCCGCCGCCGCGCTCGGCACCCGGAAAAATACGGCGATCAGGCGCCGGGCCTGCGGGCCGGCGGCGATTAGCTCGAGCCCAGATTGCGGGCCGCGGACGGGTCAGCAGCGCGGCCCCTCCGCCAGAGATGACGGCACTTGAGCAGCCGAACCCGCCGGCGGCCACGCCAGCCGCCGCCGCGCCGTCCGGGCGCCGCCGCCACGCAGGTCTCCGCCATCGAGCGGCAGATGTGGGCGCAGCGTGTAGGCGTGTGAGCTGTGCAACAGCTGGTCTCGGTCAGGCACTGGCTGGTGTTAGCTAGTGGTCCGTGCTGCGGTCTCCGGCCGTGGTCTTGCCATGTTGAAGTCTCCAGATCTCCAGCGCTGCCAGACACCTGGCCTGATCGCGCCGTGTCCCTTGAAGCCCCCGGACTTTTAATCGACACATCTCTTTTCTTTTGGAAGCCATCCTGTTACCGTCACATTAGTGTCGCAATGACAGAGCTGCTGCCGCGTCCCTGACGGCTGGTGGAACCAATCGACGGATTCCTACCAAAGTCAGCTGGGCCGCACGCTGAGTGAGCATGACTCCGCCCTGTCTGAGGTACTGCAGTCGGTGGCCAATGGGTGGGTGGGGGAGCCAAGGCGGCCCAAGTTTCAGTGCTTGTGCAGTTGGTTGCCGGCGCTGCTTCAAAGTCGGGTGTTCCTTCAAACGCCTTCAAAGGGGTTGGACTCCCGAAAATTGTTTTTGAGCCAAATGTATTAAACACCGCAGTACATTGTCATTATTCAGTTAATGTCTTTCCTCTTGGTCGGACAGCTTTTTGCCTTGATCGTTTTGTAACATTTGTTGCCTCCCATATATCGAATGGGAGGTATTTAACAGCATGGGTGGCGTTATGTTCTGGTAAGATATCGGTCCACTCAATAGTGTTGCTTCCGAAGAAAACGGTAGCCGTGGCGATGTTCCGTGTGGTCGGATTTTTATTGCGACTGAAACCAATTTTCTAAGGTCATTTATTTTCGTTTCTGGAATGTTATTTAACAAAGTATTTATACAGGCTCATTACATACAAAATATGCGCCTTCATTAGCAAATCTGATGTGAAAATGAATCGCGTCTTGGAGCCCGCACTGAGCCGGTAATGAAAGGCCGGTACATACTCTTTATTTAATTATTATCTTACTATTATTTGATTACCAAAATTTTATTTAAATTATTATTTAAGCGTGGTATTGCATACCTTTATGACACACAGTGTACAGTATTGTATACATTTATAACACGCGGGCACTAGTGTGGGTAAGTTGTCACTTTGGCGATACGCACGAGGATGTCAAATGCACAAGTCACACGCAGGCCCAAAGTAGAAACGCTCTGTCACGCAATTCGTCACCGGTCTTAACCACGCTAGCGGCATCACCCTGGGGTCATCAGGCTCACTGTGTGATCCAAGATCTCTCATGAAACTGTGCGACTTGCCATGATAATATGATAGCCCTGTTTGCAGCCCAGCCAACTACCATTCAGACAAGGGCATGTCACACTTAATGGTGGTAATTTGATCATGCAGTCAGAAAAGTCCACTGAAGTATGAAAGTCAATCGCACCCGGAAAAATTGCAAACCTGTCGCGGACCATTATCGTGTCGCTGCCACAAAAACGGTCACTAAGTACTCAATCCTGCAAGTAAGGGGTCTGAATGGGGCCTGCTGGGGCAAGATGTTTATCTGCGTCATGACGTTGGCTGCAAGTGTAGGCGCGCCAGCTTCGCGCGTCAGCTGACGCCTACTACGCAATATTGGTCAAGCGCGGACCGAGCCAGTTTGCAATGCCGGCGGCATCGGCAAAACGCGAGACCATACGCACGTGGCAATTCGACGCGCTTTTTGCAATCCTTCAGTCATTTTCACGACACAACGTGCCACAGGTAACCATAGACTTGTGCAAACCTCTTACTGGTACGTTAATACCGTTCCGAAAATATCGGTACTGAGATTTTGTGATGAAGGCACGCCGACTACGATGGTTATTTTGTGCCCATTTACTCAGTCTTTGAAACGGGCTGATGCCTCCCTGATCAGCACTGGACTGATCGCGAATTCCACCTACCTGTATCTCCTGAATCAGCTCCTGTTCATCCAGCAGGATGATCTTGCAGTGGTACGTGCTGTTCTTGGTGCCGAAGCACTTCATGTCTGCTGGCGGCCGTGATGGGCGACGTGGGTGCCACTACAAACGTGACGCGGCTGCCCCGGTCAGGCGCCAACCCAATGCACATGGGCAGCTCTCCTGCGGACGCAGCACGAAACGCACTCGCCTGGTGCACCCCACCTGTCGGCGAAAGAGCGGTTCGTCACACGCGGGCGTCGGGGCGAGCCGCTGCCTATCGGCCGTCCCCTGTTAGCGGGCGTCCAGCGTGTCGCCCGGGTGCTTACGTTATCCCGGGCGCGTTTACTTGCCATTATGCTGAGAACGAACCAGACTTTAAAATTGCGACAAACTCTCTGAAACCTTATCCAAAATATAAAACAAACCAAATTTCTTCGGACTTTGTACCAACTCTGCTAACGCGATTATAAATATGCTCCATACGATACTTGACTAGCAGACGGCTTATCCTTTACGTGACGATAGTAACTGTTGGCCAACGACCAGAAACATGTCGACCAGGTCCTACACAACCGAGAAGCACTCGCAGGCTTACGGGGTATGGGGGCAAGGGACATAATCTTTCGTCAGAAACCCTGATCCGAGATTTGCATTAAGGCAATCCCGATGTTCACGGACAGATGATGTTAATGCAGCAGAGGCCCCTCGCACCCAATAATACCGATGTAAGCGCGTCCCTGTTATCATGGTTAGACTCTAGGCATGCGTACACATATTTGAATTTCATTTTGCTAATAAATGCGTCTCCTTCACCTTTAAATTTTCCCGCCAGCACACACTCAAGCGAGTTATCATCTGCTTACGGGACTCCGACCAAGCTTTGGTGGAATTTTCAGCGGCACGCCTTCCCAGAGTCGCAAGGAATACCTCAATGATGGCTGTACGCGCAACAATGTCTCCGCAAATTAATTAATTCAGCACACACAATCCTTCCCTCAAGCTTTGGAAAATTCGACGGCTCTTATGACAAGGCTCGAACAGAAAAGCATGAAGTTGTTCGTCGTAATTAAGCCATCCGGGTTCATTCCGAACTTCAGTCCAGTGCCGGAGAACCAAAACTGTCTGGACTTTAGTATCATCTGACTAAGCATCCAACCTGCAGCCGTGCGCTCCATCTGAACTGTACAGTACGTCGGTTCTGAAATCGGCACCCAGATCACTCAGACCAGACAGACGCGGCCCAGGCTGCGGCGGCGCCCGGCCGCTTCGAACAAAGCCCGCACCGGCGGTCCGGGCATAGTGTTTATGACCCCAGCCCCGGTTAATATGGTAATCGCCAGAAGGTTGGAGAACCCATTTGGAGTGTGGCGAGTGCCCCGCCGCCGGCCAGCGCCACTGCGTTTTTGCCGCCGCCTTCGTTACGCCTCGGACCGGCCGATCGGTGCCGCCGCTCCCCGCCGTCCCCCGTTTTTGCCCGTTTTCGTGTCATTCGCGAAACGGAGAGGGAGGCGGTAGCCGACCAACACTGTGGCAGATGCGGGATCGACGGTGGCGCCGCCGGCACCGTCGTTTCACCGTGGCCGCTGCTCAGGTTTCTTCACCCCGGACACATTCCGCCTGTTCGATGTGTCGCCTCAGGACCGGCCGTCGTAAATACGACGAGAACGTGGCCAAGCCTATTGTCATAACGAGACGGCTTGCGAAAAAGCCGCACCCACGATTTCACGTTCTCACGGTTGCGTCGGCGGGCGCAGCCGGCGGCCACGGACCTCCCTCGCCGCTCCGTCCCGCAGACCTCTCTCGCTGTTCCGCCCCGCAGACATCCCTCGCTGTTCCGTCCCGCAGACCTCCCTCGCTGTTTCGTCCCGCAGACCTCCCTCGCTGTTTCGTCCCGCAGACCTCCCTCGCTGTTCCGTCCCGCAGACCTCCCTCGCCGATCCGTCCCGCAGACCTCCCTCGCTGCTCCGTCCCGCAGACCTCCCTCGCTGCTCCGTCCCGCGGACCTCTCTCGCTGCTCTGTTCCGCAGACCTCCCTCGCTGATCCGTCCCGCGGACCTCTCTCAATGCTCCGTCCCGTGGACCACTCTCGCTGCTCTGTCCCGCGGGCGTCTCTCGCTGCTCCGTCTCGCGGACCTCTCTCAATGCTCCGTCTCGCAGACCTCTCTTGCAGCTCCGTCCCGCAGACCTCTCTTGCTGCTCCGTCCTGCGGGCCTCTCTCGATGCTCCGTTCCGCAAACCTCTCTCGCTGCTCCGTCCTGTGGACCTCTTTCGCTGCTCCGTTCTGCGGACCTCTCCTGCTGCTCCGTTCCGCAGACCTCTCTCGCTGCTCCGTCCTGCGGGTCTCTCTCAATGCTCCGTCCCGCGGACCTCTCTTGCTGCTCCATCCCGTGGATCTCTCTCAATGCTCCATCCCGTGGACCTCTCTTACCGCTCTGTCCACCGGGCTCGAACGAAGACCAAGCCAGATCGGCGCAGGAAGCCGCGGCCGCCCCTTCCCCCCCCCCCCCCGCCCCTCCCGCCCTCCCTGGCCGCGGTCGAACGGACCGGAAAAGCGGTCACGACATCGCCCGTTTCGAACCGAGACCGAGGTGTTTTCGGTGGTTACGGGTCGCTGGGAAAAGATGTGGCAGCTCATTGGACAGGTGGGGGTACTGATTTGCAGATTTTCCGTGTTCCGAAAGGTCTGTGTCCCGTTCGAATGCATGACCGGTCCAGGTGTCCCTCTGACCAAAACACCGTGAATTGGCATAACTGTTGACATCATTTTTACACGAAAATGCAAATGTGGAGAGAAATGGAACATGACAAGTAAGTATGGACGATGTCACAACACTTAAGCGTCAGGACCCGCGCTCGCACGTCAACGCACAGTGCCACACTCAGCGCGCATCGCCCACTAGCTCCCAGGGGCCCGGCCTTCGTCCTCACCTTGCGAAGGCGGAGCGTTTGTGGAGTCACCTTGGGACGGGCGCCGTCGCGTGCGGGCTGCACCTGATCGTTCTCGAGCGGCACCGGCGGCGAACTGCGGCCGGCTGCGGGTCCGTCAGTCACGGCCGCCAGCGCTCCGCTCTCCCCGCCCACTGCCGCCGATGGAGCGCGGCAGCCGCGATTCGGGCGACATCCAGCGGTCGGTGGAGAATGCTCAGTTTATGAGAACGGCGGAGGCGTGGCGACGGAGCGGCGCGTCGTGACGCCGAAGTGCTTGACATCGGCGTGGGCTGAACCAGCCGTAGCTGACGCCGTAGCTCCCGTCAGTCTCATTTCAGTAGACGAGCTGCCGATCAAAGCGGCTGATCGTAGCAGCGATGCTTATTTTTAAGGGTGAGGTGTGCTGAGCCATGGATTATTACCGATAATTATCACTTTGTTAAATCAATAACTTCGGTTTTCATAAAAATTGCAACAGCCGCAGCATGACATGACATTTTGTACTGTCACAGACTGCGTTGTTAACATGTATTTTTCTGCGCTCTGTCGTTTGAAACCGCATGAAAAATACACTGTCAGGAAAATGCCCGTTTAGTCACCACTTCCTGCTGAAGATATGTTTTTCTAACTGTTTATGGCAGCATGAAGTCTTAAATCGGATGTCAACTAATGCTGCCGCAGACGACATTTCGTTTGATAAAAACCGGGTTTACAATCATCGTTACACACAGAACCTTCTGGATGGCTCATCCCTTGTTATCATATTCAGTACACTGCAGCACAGTCTCCTAGAAATAAATAGTTTGCCCTGCTTTACTTTGGCCTTGTTCGATCTGCCGTCAGCACGATTGTCAGCTGGAATGCGTGACGTCATGTGTGTTGATGGAGCGTTCAATGTGACGGCTGACGGACAACTTTTAAATTTTACTTTGCTTCTTTCCTCTACTTTTTAACCTCTACGGACCTCTCACTGCCTCTTGTTTACCGCCGACCATGACAAACTGCCTACAAAATTGTCTATCCCTCCCGTAAGTTAAGTGTTCCTTTGCAATCCCACCTAACTCAAATTTCTTCCTTTCTTATCTTAAGTGTTCACTCAACCTTCTTCGTGGAAAAGGTCCTTCATTGTTTACTGTACTGGCATGAATCCCAACATTTCACCACATTACTACTTGTACTGACAAAGCCTGCGTTCGAGACGCAGGGCATTTTGGTTCTGTTTTCCATCTTTTACGATTACTTTAACGCTATCAATTTGCTGGGGAACTCGACCATACACCTCGCCAGTCACTGCTACTCACCTTTTCATGATCACTCTTGGCAGTCCAATTCCCGTCTTATCCATTCTTCGTCACCTTCTCCCAAAATCGGAGACCAGTGCCCTTACCCCACCCAACGTATTCGCAACCACAAGAGCTGCCACATCAAGCTTGTGTCTCTTTGTCAGAGTCATACATACATTCAGGTAGCGTTATACCTCCACGCTAGCCCGCTGACAAAACAGCATGGCAGCAGCGTCAGCCATCGAGCATACCCACAAACTACGCCACTTTGTAGTGACGTGACGTGACGTGACGTAGGGAGAACACTGGACCATGATTGGTGCTGACAAAGGTGCTGCTGCCAACTTGAACGCGGTCTTTACCGTGCTCACCATGATGAAGTTGCATGTGGCTGCAAATGCGTCTCACCCGTGTGTGTAACCCACGCATGCAAACAGGCAACACCGGCACATACGGACACAGGCATGCGTGCAAGTTTTCCCACACATCACGCATATACACCTTCAAACACTCCCCTACACGCACTCATGCCACTCACACAAAAATGCATATACGCATATGTATCCACACGTAGGGAACGATGCATTATGCCTATGTCTATGCTACTATCATAACTAGGCTTACCCACTGTTGACATGATTTATTGGTGGATCGCACAGTGATGGTGAGTCCATATATGGAAGGAGATGAAGGTGAATCAAACGCGACCTTTCCCTCGTTTCTTTCCGTGCAAAACCCGATGGCTAATGTCATATTACGAGCTGTGTTCCCATCGCGGCAAAACCAAAAGCGAGCCGTAAGTTCACGCGTCATTGATGCCAGTCAGATGGCGCCGGAACCGAGCTGCGGCAGGCGTCCTTCGGGAGCCAGCTGCGAGCTAAGCTAAGCAGGGCTCAAACGATTGCTGACGATAATGGCGCCCGACCGCCCCAGGCAGCGCCCCGACCACCACAGACTGATAGAGTCGCGACTGGACTCTGGCAGTAGAGCGGCCCTACGGACATATTAGCCATCAGCGCACGGAAGCCGCCTGGACGCTACAACGGAGCCCTCGAACGGTGCCCGACCGTATCGAATCGGGTTGCCTTCAAGGTGATTTGCTTCAAGTTGCAGGGTAGGCTTGCGCTGCCGTCGCGCGAGATATTGTGGGTCATTAGACGCCCAGTCGGGGAAACCGTCTGTCTGCCACTGAGAGTTGTCTGTCCCGATAGCTCTGTTGACTGGACCCCTTTGTTTACCGTCCGATATGCCCAACCGCGGCAGGGCGGGTTCCAGCCTCTGTAAGCGTCCGCCATCTACCCTGACTGCGATGGCAAGAGGACATTGGCAGCGGTCGCGCGACAGCTCAGATGACGTCAGAGGACAGGAGTGACCGGGAGCAGCGCTGCCGCACGTTAATCTTTCGGGGCAAAACTCCACCGTTGACCCGGTATCTGGCGCTTGGGTAATGGGTCACAGCTCACGTCATTAGTGCTGCAGGGCGTCACCGCTCATCACAGAAATCAAGCCGATCAAAACGTACGGACTACATATCTAAAAATACTCTTAAGCTTTACTCTTGCAAGTCATGACACTTTGTGGTCAGGTTGTTGCCCCAAACCAGCATGTCCAGATTATGGAATCAGACGGTTCTTGAGACGGGATAGAGAGGAGAGGCAGCAAAACTAGCCGTGTTACAGTTATGAAACACATGGGTCTCTAAATCACCAGTAACACACACCGTGAGCCGCGAGAGGAGCTTGTGTCGCAAGCAGTTTGCATGCAAACCCCAACAGCTCACACAGAACACCTTTAAATAACGGCGTTTTTGCTTTAAAAAGTGCATAAGCATGTAAACAGCCGTTGATTATTAGTAAGCTCTACACAGCGTGGCAACCTGGCTGTGTCAAGTCGAGACGGGGCGGATCCTTAAATTTAACATTTCCTCCAGTAAGATTCACTCAGACTGCGGTCTCCCTCGTAAAGACCCAGACATTGAAGCAACCTACTAAACGGGTCCGAACAATATTGTTCACTATTGCATGTCTCCACTAAAAATTGTCCACATTTCATAATGTCTACAGCTCATAATGTCCACAAGATAGTTTGTCATGAGTCCGCCCGCGGGGCTAACTGTGCTTCCGCGATTGGCTGCGTTGGTCGATCAGCTGATTATTTGCGCCGATTTCATTCGCGTCAACCTGCTGACAGCTGTCCTGCGCGAGGGAACAGTCTGGCGCTTGTACGAGAATGTGCCTATCGGTTGGTCAGGACGATGTTCTCAAGCGTCGAAGTCGCTCAGTGACGAGCCGCGGACTAGTCGCCACCTGCTGCGAGGAAGCTGTTTTGTGTGTGGGGAGCGGGGAGTGTGGTTTAGGGTCAAGCATGGAGCATAAAGGGAGCTGTTTTGTGTGTGGGGAGCGGGGGAGTGGGGTTTAGGGTTAAACATGGAGCATAAAGGGAGCTGTTTTGTGTGTGGGGAGCGGGGGAGTGGGGTTTAGGGTCAATTATGAAGCATAAAGGGAGCTCAAAGCATTGCCTGCCACGGCTACAGTTATTGCTTGCTCCAGCCAACTTGTTGTCGGTGAGTCAGATGCATAGCATGATGGTATGCCCATTGGTTTACAAAGTGCAATGAGATATTCTGGAAAGTTTACGCTTCAATGTGTCCCACCAGTGAGGCTGGTTTAATGAGCGCCGAGCTATCTAACATGTTTCTCTCGATTTTGTTCGACGTCTTTAATAACAAATTCGGGATTCAGCGACAAGGTGGTGTCCACCCTCAGTCACTAACGACTCTAATGACCTGCCGTCTGGCAAGGGATATATCAGTACCCAACGCCAAACTCATCTCCCGCATGCCACCTCCAGACTGAGATTATATGATCCCTCTCCATGATGTCGCATGACCTTGTTTTGTGTAGCTGAATCTGATTGGGGTATAGAACCAGGGTACAAATCAACTCAGCAAGACGCGATCTTTTACAAATTTCAACAGCAATCCTCGGGCACGGTTCTACTTGCGTGTAACGTTATCTGACGTTGAAAACAACATTCTTCAATGCGCGAAACGCCTTAGTAGACTCTGAAGGTTGGATGGACCGAATTGGAAACGTTCGAAAATTGTGTAAGAAACAAGGAATTCAGTTCCCCCCCCCCCAAAAAAAAACCTGGCCGGCCCACGCGGGTGAGAGTTTATTCGTGTTTTTCTTTAGCCTCAGGCAAACGCAAAACAGCACTGGTCAGGGCGGAGATTACGGGTGCTATCACCGACTGCATAATTTGGCATTTTATGCCCTTGAACTGCATAGCTATGCCGCTGGCAGGAAGCCATTCGAAACAATTTATATATTCAGTGTTGTAATGAGATCGTGGCTGCGGAGCTTTCACCAAGCAGCTTCAAAACGACAAATTCAATATAGCATAGTAGATACCACACGTTCCATGACAGATCGATCCGTGCCTTACACCCCAATTTCTTGCATTTAGACGCTATTTGGCAACACATGCAGTGAATGGTAGTTAACACGTTTTTTTATCAAGCGTCTAGCTTCAATCGTTTCGGACTTGGGTCTCCAGCAGTTTCGTGTCGCGTTGTTGTAAGGGTACTACCGACAGCAAGATCATCTAGAGTCTCCAGCAGTTCCGTGTCGCGTTGTTGTAGGGGTACTACCGACAGCAAGATCACCTAGAGTCTCCTGTAGTTCCGTGTCGCGTTGTTGTAAGAGTACTACCGACAACAAGATCATCTAGAGTCTCCTGCAGTTTCGTGTCGCGTTGTTGTAAGAGTACCACCGACAACAAGATCATCTAGAGTCTCCTGC